GTCTTGAGACATGTCTATGCAGGGATAAGTTGCAAGCCAGGACATACCCAGTTCCACCATAATCTTGTTCGTGTTTATTTATACTGAGTCACTAGCCCTCAAGGATAATGTTGGGCCTACAAATATCTAAGGCTGTTGACTGAGAGGTTAGATTCTTAAAGAAATGTGAATGGTTCTGTTTTCCAGGTCACAAAATGGTTACTAGGGATGAGGTTTGTCCAGGTAAGGTTTAACTGTCAACTTGACAGAACCTAGAATATTCTTGAAATATAATCTCAATTGAGGAATGGGGTGATCATTCTGACTTCTGGTCTTGTCAGTAAGGGGTTGTCTGGTTAATTGATTTAGGAGGGCCGAGCCCACTGTGGGCCATACTGTTGCCTAGCAAGCGATCAGGAATTGTATCAGAAAGTGAGCGGAGTATAATCCTCCCTGCAGCCAGGAATCAGCAGCCTCCATGAATTCTGCCATCCTTCTTTGACTGTGAAGTGAGTCCTTGGTCACAACTGATGCTGTGTGAAATAGCAAGTTATCCTGATTTCAAGTCCTTGCCTCGAGTTCCTGCTTTGACCTCCCTCAATGATGAACTGTGACCCTTTCCTAACCTACACTGGTTTTGGTCCAGGCATTCCATTATAGTAACAGAAAAGAAGCTAGAACATGGTCCAGTCCAGTGGCTTTCATGAACAGTTCTGGCATCGATGCACTAGAGATCCCCCCTGTGTGTGTTTGGTGTGTACTTGTGTGGTGTATGTGTCTGATGTGTGTGTATAGAGGGTGTGTATGTGTTGGATATATTCAGGGTTTGCGGATATGGTATATGTACACATGTGTGTGGGAGTGTGTGCTTGTGTGTCCAGAGGCTGGAGGCAGATGTCAAGTGTCTTTCTCACTCTCTATTTTCTCAGACAAAGGCTCTTGATCAGTGGGCGTGGCAACTGGTAAGCTCCAGCGATCCTCCTGTTTCTGTCCGTACAACGTATGCACACAGCCTTACCCATTTTTTTTAGACTTGGGTGCTGAAGATTTGAACTCAGATCCTCATACTGAACACACTCCTGCCTCTGATTGCAGATTCTTCTGTGAATAGCGTTAGCTTTGTGTCTCTGGAGTATAGACATTCACAGGGCAGCCTTCTTGTTTTCCCATGGATACCTCAGTCGATGCCTGAATCCATAGTCTAGTTCTAGTATGGGATATAGTGTCTTTCCGCTTTTTTTCTTCCAAATTTGATCTTTCTGTGCTTTTTACAACCCACAACCATCCCTCTAGTTACAAAGGCCAGAGGCTCTAGAAGATACCTTTGTCATGCCCCCATGCCTCCCATCTTTATTAGCTCTCAGACATACCTACTCTTCCCTGTCTTCCCTCCCACCGCCCTCACCGAGCTCCCATCATCCTTCACTTGAGGACTGTAGCAGCCTGCTGATGGTGCTCCTCATCCACACCATCCTCCACAGTGCAGCCCAGATAACTTTTCCAAAGTATGGAAGTGGATTATTCATTCCTCGCTTAAGATGTGTTGAATTCTCCGTATTCAGAAGACAAAGACCAGACCCGCTCTACACAGTGCTAAGGAACGAGGTCCCTGAGCCTGACATCTGCTGTGTCAAGCACCAACACCTGCTACTTTCTGTGTGCACATCCGCATCCTGCCCCAACCCGGCGTGCTCCTCTCTCCTCTTTGCAATACCTCTCTCATCCTTCCTACTTAGATCGTTCTTAGAAACCACTTAGAATTCCTGTTCCTCTCTTGACAAAATCTTCCCTAACCTGCCACCTCCTTTCCCACAGACTACAGCAGACTCGGAGACACCGTTCCTTCCTTTCATCTATTTTTGTAATGAAATGCTCGTTTGTTTGATTGCTTACTTAATGTCTGCTTTTCCAACTAGACCATAAAGTCCATTCAGACAGGAACATGTTTATTTTAGCTATTACACCCTCTGGGCCTTGTTCACTGCCTGGAACTCAATATACATTCGATAACCATTGATTAATGAGGAACTAGTGAATGAGTAAAAGAATCTAGTTGCCTTGTGTGATGGCTTGGACTTTCCAAATCCCAACACTTTTGACATTTCAGGCTGGACAGTTTGCTACAGAGGGGCGATCTTGTTCCTTTTAGGATGTTGCTGATACTCTTCAGCTCTGTTCATTAGATTCTGGCCATGTCTTCCCTGTTGTGACACCTGAAAATGCTTCTAAACACTGCACGTCTCCCTCTGTGGGCCAAGGTTGACCACTACGTGGTATATTGTACTAAATATTCAAGGCATTTGTTTAAGACTCTTGGCTCTGGAGCTCCCTGCTCGGGCCTTTATGAGGCGCTCAGTAGCCCACTCTGGTCTCATGCTGGAGTCTTTCTCTAGTTGACAGATCCATCTGCTGATCTAGGCTCCTTCCTGGTGCCCCTCCCAGGGTGTCAGTATATTTCCTGCCCTATGAGTGTCAGAGTTCAGGAACTCCGTGACTTCCCTCAGCCGACTGGACTTCAGTAGACATGGGTGTCGAGGTCATGCCTGAGGCAAAACTCTGCGAGTCACAGACTCCACGGTTCTCTTTCCCCTCTGCCTCATGAGTGGGAATGAAGCTGCTTCTCACCAAGTTCTCTAATAAAGAAGAGTAGGCCAGTTGCTGGGGGTACAACAGGGACGTAGATCCGTCGCGCTAAGGCTTCTGTGCTCCATATGCAAACAAGAGATGCAAGGTCCAGATGGAGTCAGTGCTGTGCCATTGTACAGAGCAGAGGTGTCCCACTATGGCCCCTCTCTCTATGGAGATGGAGTTTTACCGGAGAACAGCTATGCTGCTGGTTTTTCTTGAGGCTGTTTGTTGGTGGCTGCAGGTTATTAAAACTCTGAAGTGGTCTAGCCAGCAGACTTGTTATGGGATGCACACCGAAAAGGCTGGGTTCTCTGTTTTAGGGTAGATAAATGGTAGGAGAACAAAGGAAGAGCCCTTGGGCTTGAATTCTGAATGTGTTGATTTGGGTCCTTACTGGACTTCCAGAGGTCTGGTACCAAGGAGACCTCAGCGGTGAGTTTATTCTAGTTCCTGTACACACTCTTTACAATAGTCCCGTTACTAAATGTGCAGGTCTCTGTCTTGATTATCTTCTCAAATTTCACACATGAGCACCGCATCTCCATTACTCCCACCCACTCCCCTCCAGCTCCTCTCCCAATTTATGATCTTTTGTTTCATGTATATGGGTATTTTTATATATCTACACATGTATGTCTTACTGAGTCCATTTAGCTTTGCTCTTGTGTGCATGTGTCCAGGGTCGGTCCCTTGGGATTGGACAAGCTATGTGGGAGTTTAACACCAAGGCAACTGATCCTCCCTCTCTGAGCAGTCCCTAGTGTCCTTGTAGTTCTATCGTCTAGGGATGGATGTCCCTAGACATCCCATATCCCTAGATATGGCCCTGTGGGATGTCCCCTAAGAACATGAGGATGACATAAACGGAGAACTTTTGTGTTGTTCACATAGATATCCTAAGTTATATTATGATGGATTAAAGAGGAGGTCCTAAGTGTTTCCTGAGTGGCAGGATGAGTATTGATGCCCACATATTTGCTCTTCCCCCTCTAGAGCTTTCGCTCTGAGAGAGTTGAGAGGGTCTCCTTCTTCACTATACATGATGCAGGGTGTTGAACTTCCATATGGCAGAGTTGTGACTGCCAGCATCTTGGGTGCTTGTTGTATTGGCATGGGGAACTCCCAGGGAGCGATAGTGACCAGATCAAATCATAAATTGTTAGTACTTGTTGTAAACTGGGAGACGCTCCATTGGGAATGATTTTTGTGCCCCTTGCCCACTCTGTATATATGATGTCTAAAGATTTATTTTTATCTATGTGTCTATGCATCTGTATGCATGTGTGCACGCCATGTGAGTGTAATACTCATGGAAGCCAGAAGAGGGTGTTGGATGCCCTGGAGCTGGAGTTACAGATGGTTCTGAGGTCCCCACCAAAGAGGTTTCTGGGGACCACCAAGCTTGGAACCTCTGTAAGTGTTGTATGCCAAGTCACTGAGATTTGGAGACTTTTTATGACATCATAGGCTCTTTATTTATAGCCAATGAATGGCTAAAATACAAGACACATCTTAGATTCATAACTAACAAGGTTTTCTTATTTTCTGTGGTGCCAGAATCTTTCAAGAAAACAATAAAGGAGTTGTAAGTTAGATAAAGTTAACCCATGAAGAGCCTTCACATTTTTCCATGTGGAATCAGAAGTGTGGGAGGAGGAAACAAGTGCAAACTGAGCAGAGGTTTTCATACTACAACTCGTAGCTCCAATTTGGCCCTCTGCCTGTTTGTGTGAATAAAGTTTTATTAGAGCACAGTGGTGGTTACTTGCTTTTGTATCATCTGTGATTGTTTTGGCATTACTGGGTTATAGGCAAGTAGCTGCAACAGAGACCACGGGTCTTGCAAGGTCTACAGGATTCACTACTTGGGTCTCTGCAGGGACAACTTTGCAGACTCCTGTCAAGAAACCCGGTTTGAGTCCCAGCTCTGACATCCACCAGTGTGTAATACAGGCATGTCACCTTTCTGGGATTTAATAGTCTCATCAGTCGCGTGAAGAGAGCGACAGACCCATATCCTACGATTGTTGTGTGACTTAATGAGCTCAAGTGCTTTGCCCATTCCCAAGCCACGTAAAATGTGCTTGGTGGAGGATAGTTATTATTGTTATTAGTCGGTCAGTCATTGATTTATCCAGTTCTCAAATATGGTCAGGGCATTTCCTGTGTGCCTAACAGTCTAGGCCATGTGGATCTAAAGGCCCGGCAATTTTAAATCCTGATCTTCAAAATAGTTTCAGCTTAGGAAACATAATAAAGGATGATATGTCTTATTAAGTTAGTATCACAGATAATCATAATAAATTGCTATTATGGCAAAGCATTGTTTGCGCCTCAGGTGGAAGTAGATACTTCGGTGGGGATTGGCAGTGAGTTTTCTTTTTTTGTTGCAGACACTCTGGAAGCCCCCAAGGAAATGTATTTGTCTCCAAAGCACTTGGCAGAGGTAGCACGGCCGGGGCCAGGCTGGCAGAAAGACCCCATTTCTCAACCTGGCTTCCTACACAGAATTATTTAGAAGGAAACTTTATCAGACGGCCTTCCAGCACCACACCATCCATCTTGCAGAGGTAATTCAATAGCCCTTGCGAGCTGATGATTTATGGGCTGGGTGGCCTCCGGGAGGCTGCTCTTTGTATTACAGCCTGTGTTTTATCAATGGCCGGTGACCTGCTAGCTGAGGCCAGAAGCAACAGGCTGTGTGTTTAATCCTGTTCGTCCAGGCCCTGGTTACAGCTAGCTTCAGGGCCAGCAGAGGGCTGCTGGTCACTAGGGCAGACGAGTCTCCGATTGTTCTAAACTGGGAGCTCTCATTAACATGGAGTGACTGTGTCTTAAGAACAGAAGGCTCTTTCTTCTGTAAAAAGTTTCCGTTTGGCTCCAGCCCCCAGACTCTTTTGACCTTGCGGTTCCTGAAAGGGAGGTGTCTCTGCCTTCCCCTTAGGAATGAGAAGCCCAAGCTGGGAGGCACTTCCTTAATTCGCGACTAGATTAAGAAAACTGCAGTCAGTGCTTGGGGTCTTGTGAGGGTGTTAGGGGTAGGGTTTCTCTGAGTTTTTGTCTCTTTATTGTCCTGACCAAAGAGACATGCTGAGGCAGTCTCTAGAATGCCAAAGCCTCACTTCCTTATCCACAAGGAAGTTTCTTTTGCAGCACTTAGCACTGAACCCAGAGCATAGTAGGTATGGTGGTCTGAATGGCCCCCATAGACTCAGAAGGAACATCTCTATTGGAGGTGTGGTCTTGCTGGAGGAAGTGTGTCCCAGCGGGTAGTGGGTTTTGAGGTTATAGAAGTTCAGGCCAGACCCAATGTCTTCTTGCTGATGGTCTTCTATCTCTTCCTGCTGCCTGCTGATCCAGATGGGAGACTCTCAGCTGCCTCTCCAAGATCGTGTTTGCCTGCATGCGGCCGTGTCATGCCGGGATGATAATGGACTAAATCTCTCAGTTGTAAGCCAGCTCCAATAAAATGCTTTCATTTATAGGAGTTGCCATGGTCATGGTGTCCCTTCCCAGCAACAGAAACCCTAACTAAGAAGTATGTGCTCAATAAGGGATGAATGCTTCCAGGACTTTGCATATGTCACTGATTGTTTCTTAAACACTCTTCCATATGATCACGTTGCTGACCCCAAGTGTCCTTAAGGTCAAGGCTCAGTTGCTATCTTAAAACAGCCAACACCCGATCTGTAAGATGGGAAACATGCAACTTAATTAAAAAGAATTGAATACAGGGGACTGGTTCAACATCTACTGGAGGATGTATAAGGAGGAAGGGAGAGTATGCAACACAAAGCACCTACAGTGTCTGCATAGCCAGCCACCCAGGTAGATGGGGTGGCTTCCCTAGGTCCTCTGTCCCAGGGTGTTTTCACAGGGCAACCACCATATCCCAGATGAAACTGGGGTCTCTTTCAAAGTCAGTTTCTACCCAGGGACAAATCTGCTTCCATGACCACTCTGATGGCCATGGTCAGGTTCTAGCTCCTCATGCACATTTGTGGTAAAGTCTTTGGCTGTGGGTAGAGGAGTTCCCTGCCTCATAGGTGTCTCCAGAGAGGACTCCCAATATGACTTCTGACTTCATCAGAATGGCAAGTAAAAGAAAAAAGCAGTGACCGAGATCAGTCTCCTCTTTTGATCACTGGGGTGGCATCCCAACACTTCTGTTGTGAGGAATGAAGCAGGAATCACACAGGGATATGAATCCTGGGGTCAGAGATCACCGGGCAAACTCAGAGGCTGACCTCAAACCCACAGAGAGAAAGCAGCTCATCACTCACAGGGTTGGAGGGACAGTGGGAATGGCTGGGGTTTTAGATTCTGAATGCTTGGAAGAGGGACTGACAGTGATCCTGAGGAGATGACCCTGAGGAGGTGACCCTGGGCAGCTGGTGATGGTGATGGATAGTTTCCCATAATGCTGTTTCTAGAAGTATAAAGAGAACACTGCTATTTCTGGAACCACCTAGAACTGCCTAGAGCATGGGGAGAATGTCCGGCAACAAGATTTAGTGAGGTGAACTGTACCTCTGAAAATTCATGCCTACGTCCATAACAAAGTCTTCTAAAATAATTTCTGTGTGGGGGTACGGGGCAGGAGGAGTTGTACATGGCCCTCGGCACATGTTTAGAGGTGAGAGGCCAAACTTTGGGTCCTTTGTGGTCCACCATTTTGTTTTGAGACAAGGACTCAATGCTGCCACGTACCAGGGTAGGCAGCCAGTGATCATCTGCGGACTCTCCTGTCTGCACCTCCCGTCTGACCGTAGAGTGCTGGATTACAGGTGCGTGTGCTGCTATGTCCAGCTTCTATGTGGGTTCTAGGCATCGTAATTTATGCCCTCATGGTTTAGTTTCTTTTCCTGACAAAAGGAATTTAGAAGAGGACGGGTTTATTCCAGATCACTGTTAGAGAGTCTGGCTCTCAGGGTGAAATTAAGGCAGCAAGAGTGAAAGGTGCTGATCACATGACTTCTACAGTCAAGGAGCTGATCACATGACATCTACAGTCAAGGAGCTGATCACATGACTTCTATAGTCAAGGAGCTGATCACATGACTTCTACAGTCAAGGAGCAAATGCGTGCTGTGCTCAGTCCAGGATTCCGACCCATGCTGCCACCCACGGTGGGCAGATCTTCCCACCACAATGGGCATAGTCAAGACGATCCTCTACATGCTCAGAAGTTAGCTTCGCCTAGATACTACCTCACCCATGTGCCCAGACCCTTGTCTCATAGATGATTTTTGTCAGGGTGATGACATGAGCCACCACATCATGCTTGCTTTCCTGATCCTTTACTGATGGAGACATTCCCCCAGTCCCACGCAACAAATTCTGAATCCACCGGGTCTTGGACTGGGCCAGCATTTGGGAACAGGGTCTTTGCAGAAGCAACTCGATCACAGAGAAGGGGATTTGGGTGGGAGGTCACACAATAGGCAGATGTCTTTAGGAAACTGGGGAATTTGGATGCAGACATGCACATCAGAAGGCGTGGGAACAAGATAGATCAACTGTTCCTAGGAGCCAGGAGTGCCAAAGGTTGACAGGAAATGTCTAGAAGTTGAGAGAAAGCAGGGGTGGATGTCTCACAGCCCTCAGAAATAACCTTTCCCTGACTCCTTGATCCTCGGTTTTGTTTGGTTCTTTAGAACCTGTACGATGATAAATCCCTACCCCTGGGCCTCCTGGCTTGAGGTTCTCAAGGCTCTTTAACCACAGTTTTGCCTTCTGCTGTTTCAGGTGCCTGTGATCAGCCACGACCTCAGCACACCAGATGTCCACAGCTACTAAGTTCCAGCTAACTCAGTGCGCTGTGTTCCCATCAATGCTTTTGGTTTTCAGCAGCCTCCTAGTCTGCCTGTTTTGTATATTACACTTTATCATAGATACATAAATTCTTCAAGTGTGTGTAGAATTGGAATGACCTGTAGTTTTAGGCATCCTGGTGGGTCATGGATGAGGATGTGTGTCTGTTTTGTTGTAGAAGGCCTGGGATGTAAGCAGTCTCCCTCAGCGTGATGGCATCTTGCTGGCATCGACCATGACACAGAAGTCCAAAGGATGCTTTCAGAATGCTTACTGTCTATCATTGCCATGAAGGCGACAGAGGGTGGGGAGGCGCTGAGCAATGGCAGCATAGGTGTTAGCACAACCGGGTAGACTTACTGCGCCCCGAATCAGCTGCGCCCATCCTGTTGTGCTTGGCTTCTCCTGCTGTTCTGATCTGTCAAATACTAAGTCTACAAGGAGTTAATGCTCCTTTGCTCCTGTGTTCTGAACGTTCTGACTTTTCTGCATGTTGTAGTTATGGACTTTCTGCCTGACCATTAGACCACGGTTAGGTTGCCTTATAAGTTGCTTAGTTACCCATATACACACGAAGAACTTCCTTGTTTCCCTTACCGTATATTTACCTGGATTATTCTCTTGAATAAGCGAGACTTGATCAGAATCCTGTCTTGTCTCCATCTCTTGTGTCTCTTGTCCCATCCCATTCTCACTCCCCCTCTAGGGTCTCCTTTGACTTACCCACGGGCCGGGGCAAAAGACTCTCTGGAGGAAGTTTTTGGTGGCCCTCCTACCCTGACTGAGTCTCCTCCTTCTCCATGTCCCTTTGGTCTCTTGAATGGCATGTTTTCAAGGTGTCTCCTTTGCTGTCTGCTTCTTCTCCCAGACCATGATGTCCCTGAGGGTGAGCACTCTGTTCTCTGTGCCTTGCTCCTTCTCTAGGGCCAAGCACACAGTAGGTCATTAGAAAATAGTTGTTGACTACTCAAGAGTGAAGTGGAGAAAGCGAGGCGCGCTGGCAGAAAGGCCGGGTCAGCGCAAATCCAGCGGTCATCTTCTGGTCATCGTTCGGTCTTCATAACAGTTCTGTGTGCTGGTATTGGATCTCCGCTCTGCATATATGAAAATGATCAAAACAATTTGCCCACAGACAAATGGCAGAGCCAGGGCTTGTGTCTTTTCTCTACAAAGCATCCCCATCCTCACGTCATTCTTAGAGCTGTCGTGAATGAACAGTCAATGGTGTTCCTGGGGCCGATGGGATGTGTCCGTGTGTCACCTCTGCATCCACACTTGCATTAGTGACGTTAACACTTTTTCATTTTGTGTGTGTACCTGTTTGCATGTGGAAGTGTATAATGTACTTGTATATGTGTTTCTGTATATGTGTGGTGTATGTATATGTGTGTATGTATGTATATTTGTATGTGTGTCAATATACGTGTGGCTCATGTGTGTGTTATCTGTGTCTGTGTATCTGAGTATATTTGTATGTGGGAGTGTGTATGTGGTATGTATATTCATGTGTATATTTGGGGTATATGTATGTGTTTATAAGTAGTGTGTGTGGTATATGGGTTCATGTGTAAATGTATGTGCATGGTGTTTGCGTCTGTGTGTGTGTGTGTTGGAAGAAGCATATGTGTTATGTGCGGACATGTGATAGCATTCATGTAGGACTACTGGAGCAGCTGAGATATTTGCTCTCTAGCGGCTGAGAACTCTGGTTGTTAAAATGGAGTTGCTATGTTTGGGACTGTGATGAGGCAAAACGATGTCAGGTATCTCCACTTTATTCCTTTAAAAATATTAAATTTTGACAAGGGAGCCACCACTAATGGAGCAGGCCCAAGCCATGGACCTCTGCAGGAGCAGGCCCAAGTCAGGGACATCTACTGTAATAGGCCTGAGGCAGCAACCTCCACAGGGAGCGAACTCCGAGGGAGTAGGCAAGAGGTAGAGATGTTTGTGGGACTGGGCATGAATAAGGGATGTCTGAGGGAGCAGGCCTGAGCCAGGGACATCTGTGGGAACAGGCCTGAGTCAGCTACCTCGGCAAGAGCAGGCAATGACCTCCACAGGAGCAGGCACAAGGGAGCAGCCTCAGTGGGAGCAGCCCACAGCAAGCAACCTCCATGAAAGCAGACCCCGGGAGCTCTGAGCAACCTCTAGGAACACCAAGTGACCTCCAGGGTGACTGGAACCATGCCCTGACTGCACCACGAGGGGCAACCATCTGAGCATTGGATCCACTGGCACCTGGAAGATTGATCAGCAGAGCTACATCCTAACTACACCAACCAGAGGGAAAGATGGGTAGACAAAGTAAGAACACACTCAACACCACAAAAAGCAACATGACACCAATAAAAGGCTAGTGACCCCACAACAGCATGACTTCAATAATTAAATATAGATGAAACAGAAGAAAATGATCTAAAAAATAACTTTAGAAGAATGTTGAGGTCCTTAAAGAGGAAATGAAAAATTCCCTCAAAGAAATGGAGAAAAAGACAAAGAAAAAATGGGAAGAAATCAACAAATCTCTTAAAGAAAAGCAAGAAAGAGCAATCAAACAGGTGAAAGAAACTATTCAAGACAAGAAAACTGAAATAGAGACAGTAAAGAAAACACAAATCAAGGGAATTATAGAAAACAATCAGGAAGCACAAATGCAAGCATAAAC